GCCGCTCCATCTGAAAGCAGGTGATGGAGATTTACTACCAATCACGGAACCGGCTTTACTGACGAGATGCGCATGACAATCGCATGTGATTAATTGCACAGCCCTATTAGAAATAATAAAAAATAATATTCAAATAACCAGAAATAAATACTTATATAATATATATTTATAATATTTAAAAATATATATATATGTGTATTTATATTATTATTTTTCTCCTCTCACCTGTCAGCATGAGCACTGCGCCTACAGAAAACAGGATGATACCGACCAGCGAAATGACACTCTTGAACAACACTTCAAACTGCTGCGTGTTCAGTTTGCTCCGGAGGTAATCGACAAATGCGTGAATCTGACACAGGCCAAACACTCCGAATGCAGCCATGTGTTCAGAGGACTGGACGGGCTACAAGAAGAGAAAGAAAGATAAAGATTATTAATCTGTTTGGAAGTTCATGTTATAGTAATTACTTATATTTGGTAACTGATGTTCAACTCCTTACTTGGAATCCAACAAAAGAGATCTGCATGGAGAGGATGGTGCCCAGGCAGTAGACTGTGCAGTACGCCACATAGATGCGATGAGAGAAACGGCCAGTGAGCATCAACACCAGCACGTGCAGGGGAATGAGGTTAATCAGAAACACATAACCACCCCAGGAGGACACCTGACACCAACACACAAAGCTATTGTGTTATTGAAACAATGTATTTTGTGTATTTAATAGGGCTGCCCCCTAATAGTCGACCAAAATTGTATTAGTCGCAGAAAAAAAAAATCCACAGATGAAGTCACGCAGTCTGTGACGGACAGATCGTTAACAGCTGGTCTATGTGGTAGTACATCGGGCAGGACATCGAAACGCTCGCCTATCATTCAAACAGGTTGGCGAACAGGAAACAGGATGCGCGTTCTGCCGTCTCGGTCTCTGTGAACTTGAATGCGAAACTCCGTGTATATATCTTTGCCTTACAGACATTAAAAATATATCTATAGAGAGTGAAATGTCTACTTTCAAATGAACCAATTCAAATGGTAAACAAATATTCTCAGATTATGTAATCCGTATGAAACACGCATACAGGCACATCATTACTGCGGAGAAAGTACTTAAAACCGAAAACAAAGAAAGCACTAGTTTATCAAATTATTAAAATGTTAATGCAGCCATCCTTACTGCTTTTTCCCTGACACATTCATAATCATCCTTCTGCCGGTGTGCCGTGGCAAGCTTTATGTGTGCGCTTGAGGGCTTAATAGGCCATGTAGGCAATTAAAGGCTCATTATAATGATTTAAATGGTTTATTAATAAATGTGCGATTTGTCGACTAATGCTTAAAATGAACGACTACTAGTCGACCAGAAAAATCCTTAGTCGAGGGCAGCCCTAGTATTTAAATAACATAATTTATTGATTTGCTGTGACAATGTGGCTCACCATGTAAAAATATGCCAGCGCACACATGGACGACCAATAAATGGAGCCTGTTTTCACTGCTTTGATCCACATGTAGTACGTCAACAGCATGCAGAAAATGGCGATTCCTTTGCAACACAAAAAAAAATAAAAATTGTATACATTGATATATAAGCAGTGATGATATATATATTTTTTGGAAAGAATTCTCTTATACTCACGTAGGCTTAATTTATTTAAACAAAATCAATAATATTGTTATTGTGAATAATATATGATTTATTTTTAAAAGAATCAAAACCATTTTATTAAACCATTACATATCGGTCAATTCAAAAAATTTAACACATTTCTGAGATAAGATTACACCTTCATTGTCATAAGAGCCTGCCACAGAACGGGAGATGTATCCAGGGACGACTGCGATCATGGCGGCAGCCAGAAGCCCTGCACCCGCATCCTGCAACATACAGTGTTACTTCAGTTAGGCCCGTTAGCTAGACAAATAATGAACAGGTGTGTAAGATGGACGAGTGCTGAGGTTCATCTCACCTTGAGCTCTTTTGTGAAGTGATAGGTGACAATAGCGGTGAAGGAGGAGAAGAGAGGGGCGAGGAACACACATACATTGCGGATGTCGATGGTGATGTGGAAGAAGTGTAGCATGTGATACAGAGCTGCAGATGTGATCATCAACCCTGTAGGGAAAAAAGAAACAACAAGCTTGCTATACTGTTAAAAAGTGGTTTTAGCCAGTTGCTGTAAGGTTGCTAGTCAAAGAGTCCCTAAATATGGTTTACATTTAGATCTATCTTTATCAACCATCACATGAAAAAGTCCAACCTCTGTACTTAAAGTCAGGCCACAAGTGGCTGAAAAGCACAATATTGCTATACATTTAGAAATTAGTGTCATTAAGATGTACCGGGATAGATGGTGCCTCCTATAATCCTCCCAAGTGGATACCAAGCCCGATCATCAAACCAATTATGGAATTGGTAAAAGCCCTCTTCTGCCAAGAAGCGAGTGGTCCGGTAATTGAAATACCTGCCAACAACAAACAGGAAACTCATTTAAACAGGTGTTCGGATGCTGGTGAACTGCAATAATGATGCGAAAGCTGCACTTACGGATCGAACTCATGGATGACACTCTCGAAGCGAAGCACAGAGAACAGTCTGGTGGAGAACGCTGGAGGAAAATGACAAGACAGACGGATTTAGAGGACAGTTGACATACAGGGAGTCTGACTTAAAGGGATGTGTATCCACTCACACAGGACGGCTGCCATAGACAGGATGAGCAGCTTCAGCAGGGTGTCCTGTTTCTCATAGGACAGACGCAGAAAGCCCAGCTTGGTCATCTTAACACACACAGGAGGCAGCACTAACTCTTGATACCTGACAAAACAGACAACAACAGCCCGTTAATACAACTGTTCATAATGGTAATACAACTTACACTATACATAAAATAAAATGTTAGAGAAGTGTAGGATAGGGCTCCTCTAACAACAAACTATGCACAAGCAGTAAGCAAATTTCGGCAGATTTAAACTTCTAGACATGATTATGCAATTCCACAATTTTTTTTTGATCTGATTAAAGAGGTTTTCAAGTCAATTAAGCATCAAATTTGAATTGTAGAGGGTAAAGCAGTTTAAGAAATGCATAAATCTGCATATTATGTCATCTGTTAAATTGTCAACTCTTTATAAAATCAGGAAGAGAGCCAGTTTGTGCACAATTCCTATACAAAAAGCTACTCATTACTACTTCACTGCAGATAAATCAATTCAGAGATGATCAGTATTTACATAAATTCTGTGTTCTTCTGATAAACTATTCGTGATAATAAACTATTACAAGTCTTGATTAGCTCCTTAGCAGCTAGCTAAGCTTACACCTTCCCAAGCTTTTTTTATTATACGTAAATGTGTTCTTTAATGCACTGGAGTAAATGTAATGACAGCGAACCCGTATAGTTGCAATAAATGTGATATGAGAAATGAGAAATTTGCAAAATTACCAGTCTTATTCATCGGCGGTTCACTCACTCCAGCCCTTCCACACTCTCACACACAACCCTCTCTGCGAATCAAGCCCCGCCCATCCACGTAGAGAGGGCGCTAATTGGCTCAGCGTCACGATTCTGTGAAAACGGCCTTCACTGATTGGTCATCAAGATGTCATTCAAGGGTGTCAAGACCAGTTCCGCATGGCGCTCCAGATATGACGTGTCCTAAAGGGAGAAAGACAGTCAGCAAGCACTGTGTGGAGTCCATACAGCACTCAACTTTAAAGGGGTCATATGATGCGATTTCAAGTTTATCTTTCTCTTTGGAGTGTTACAAGCTGATTGTGCATAGATAAGATCCCTGAAGTTGCAAAGACTAAAGTCTCAAAACCAAAGAGATATTCTTTATCAAAGTTAAGACTCTGCCACGCCCCCCTAAAACGGCTCGTTCTAACACGCCCCCACATATCTACCTCACTATGTGGAAATATTAGCATAATGCCGCCCAAATGTGCATGCAAAGAAAGAAGGCGTGGTTTCAGTAACCGCAGTTAGTGTTGAAGCAGCATGTCATGAAGACGCTGTGTGTTTCTGGGCGAAAGCAAAAGCATTTTATTTGGTCTTCCGAAAGTAGATGCATTTAGGAATCTTTGAGGGACTTTGTAGAAAACGAAGTGTTTGAGAGAGGCGGGGCATAGAGGACCTACAATAATGTACAGTATTTGAAAAATGATGTGTTTTTTGAACATTAAAGCATGTCAACATATTCTGTTACACCAAATACACAAAATAATGATCTTTTAAAAAAAGCATCATATGACCCCTTTAAAACTTTGACTATCAAATATCATACCATTTATATGCTATTTTAATTGTTAGATCAAATTTCCCTTACAGGTTCATAATGATTTATGTAAAGAAGAAAAAAATATTTTCATGAAGTTCATGATGCTTCTAAAGCAAAGTGTTTATTTAGGATATTTGTCTGTTTTGTCCTTCAACAAAAAGTTATTTGAGTCATCTCATGCATTGTGACTAATACATACTATTATAATAAGATTATACACGATTAAAAATAATGATATACATATACACTGCAGGTCAAGAGTTTGGAATAACTGGGATTTTTTAAAAATGTTTTTGAAAGTCGTCTCATGCTCACCAAGGCTGCATTTATTTGATTAAATATTCTGTAAAAACAGTAATATTGTGAAATATTATTACAATTTAAAAGAACTGTTTTCTGTTTTAATTTAAAATGTAATTTATTCCTGATTTAGCTGAATTTTCAACATCATTACTCCAGTTTTCAGTGTCACATGATCCTTCAAAAATCATTCTAATATGCCTGATATATCAAATTACATAATTATAAAAATAATTTAAAAAATCAGTTTGAGTTTTTGAGCTACAGTAAAATATAACAACATATTTTGTCAAATGCATACTAACTAGGTTTTCCCAAAATATGTATCTTCAATGCAATATAAGCCGTTCTGGATAAAAACATCTGCCAAATGCATAAATGTAAAATCTAAACATAAAATAAGACCATCCTATACAAATACTGTACACAGACCAAATTTATTGAAATAATGTAATACTTTTACAAAATGTCACTCACAAATTTCCATCTGTAGGTGTAACACTATTGACTCCTGGCGATAATTACAACCCTTTTTAAAATACAACCCCCCCCCACCCCCCGCGGATACAATGACATAATATGTGCTTCAGTTTCAAATGTTTCTAAACAGGTTCCAGGTACTAAACTCCAGGAACATACACCACAGTGGACATCCACTTGACATGCCAGCATTCATTGGAAACTGGATCCGTGATCACTTAAAGAACAGTTTCACAAGTGTCACACAGTTTGGCAGTGTCACCTGACAGCAGCTGATTAATAAAGCTTGTGCATACTGTTGGAAATCATCCCCAAACCTTTACAGATGACACCGGATCATGTTGACACGGTATTCCCAAAATAAAAACGCATTATAAAAGAAACCAAATAAAAGCAGCTCCCTTTTGAGTTTCACATTGTTACTTACAGCTCAGGGAAAAACATCCTGTCATCATGTGGTTCCTAACATGATTTTCTTCGATGGAACACAAAAGGAGAAATTTCAAAGAATGTCCACACTGCTGTTTTTCATCAAATATAAGGATATAGGGACTTGAGCAGCATTAACATTCTGCAAAATACCTACTTTTGTGTTCCACATATGAAGGAAACCATGAGGGTGAATAAATGATTTTCAGCCAAACAATTCCATTAAGAAAATGTGTAGTCAATAAAGTAATGATTTTAAAATGTCTAGCAGACAACTCACAACATTTTAGGTCAAGAAACATCCCTTGCATAAAGAGGCCTTTCAATTTGATTGTTTTTCAGTCTAGTCCAGATTCCAGTGCAGAAAAACAAACCACTGGGGGACGCTAGGGCCTTTTTCTACTCATCCATTCCGTAAGTCATTAAGCTTAGTGTTAACGGAGAGATAAACTGTCATGTGTCCGGCCCTCACAAGGCAGAAAAAGCCATTACAAAAAATTTAAAAGAAGGCCATAAATAGATAAAACGACTACAGGGCCTAAAAGAAGAGGGAAGCCAATTCACAGAAAATGTGCACGCTGAGGTCTTTGTGCCGTCTCTACAAATGACCCAAATGGCACATAATGGGTACAAAAATAGTCCCCCCAAAAAAAAACAATCACACAGAGAATCACGACCTTGTGTATCAGCACAGGGCGATCCAGTCCCAAACACATTACTAACCCGTCCCATTCATCCCTCAGAAGAACATCGACAGACCACGCTAATTTTTTCCATCCACCTGACTCTTTCATACCGAACCGAATTGGGAATCCTGAAAGAAGTCACTGGGGGGGCATAGGTCGCTGGCGCGTCGGGGACATGTGAGGCGAGGGCAGCTTCTCTGTGGACGTGGAGGTCGTGATGGAGCTCTGCAGGTGCACCGTCTTGTGGAACAGTTTGTTACTGATGAGGACGACCAGGGAAAAGAGGCGGAGCTGGAAGTGGCTGCATTGTTGGAAAAAACGGCAATGTTATCAGTGATAAAATCTCTTTTTTTTAGTAAGTTTTAAGTAAAACAAAACAAACAAAAAAACACTTACTAGAGTTTGACTGGGGTCTTTGCTTCATTAGCGCTGATGATGAAGAGCGGGAAGAGAATGGAGAACAAACAGCCGCTGGAGGAAAGAGCACAAGATTCAGTAGTCGCACAGAAATTATTCATAAACGCTCTTGGAATACAACATATGCCTAGGAAAACACTAGGGATGTCTCAGAGTGATAAAAAAAGGTGACATTTATTCACCCTCATATCATTTCAAAACGGACTTTCTTCTGTGGAACACAAAAGAAGATATTTTGAAGAATTTTGGAAACTAACCAGTGTTAGTTCCCATCGATTTCAATTGTGTGTACCATTTTTCAAAATATCTTCTTTTGAGCTCAGCAGAAGAAATAACAGGTTTGAAATGACAAGAGAGCAAGTAGTCAAAGACAATTTTCATTTTTGGGTGGGCTATCTCTTTAATCACAACCAGACTAAGGGGCCGTTTAAACAACAATGTTTTCAGCCAAAAACGGGAAACTTTTTATGCGTTTTGCCTGTTCATTTACACGACAACGGCGTTTTGGGGAATGAAAACGCATATTTTTGAAAACGGGTTTCAAAGTGCAAGTTTTTGAAAACACCACCGTTATCGTTTCCATGTAAACACCAAAAACGGTGACGTCAACGCGCGTGCGTAGTATGTGTTAGGTATGTAGACATGCGCAGTACGAGAAGTCACTGGGGGGGCATAGGTCGCTGGCGCGTCGGGGACATGTGAGGCGAGGGCAGCTTCTCTGTGGACGTGGAGGTCGTGATGGAGCTCTGCAGGTGCACCGTCTTGTGGAACAGTTTGTTACTGATGAGGACGACCAGGGAAAAGAGGCGGAGCTGGAAGTGGCTGCATTGTTGGAAAAAACGGCAATGTTATCAGTGATAAAATCTCTCTTTTTTTAGTAGTAAGTTTTAAGTAAAACAAAACAAACAAAAAAACACTTACTAGAGTTTGACTGGGGTCTTTGCTTCATTAGCGCTGATGATGAAGAGCGGGAAGAGAATGGAGAACAAACAGCCGCTGGAGGAAAGAGCACAAGATTCAATAGTCGCACAGAAATTATTCATAAACACTCTTGGAATACAACATATGCCTAGGAAAACACTAGGGATGTCTCAGAGTGATAAAAAAAAAGGTGACATTTATTCACCCTCATATCATTTCAAAACGGACTTTCTTCTGTGGAACACAAAAGAATATATTTTGAAGAATTTTGGAAACTAACCAGTGTTAGTTCCCATCGATTTCAATTGTGTGTACCATTTTTCAAAATATCTTCTTTTGAGCTCAGCAGAAGAAATAACAGGTTTGAAATGACAAGAGAGCAAGTAATCGAAGACAATTTTCATTTTTGGGTGGGCTATCTCTTTAATCACAACCAGACTAAGGGGCCGTTTAAACAACAATGTTTTCAGTCAAAAACGGGAAACTTTTTATCCGTTTTGCCTGTTCATTTACACGACAACGGCGTTTTGGGGAATGAAAACGCATATTTTTGAAAACGGGTTTCAAAGTGCAAGTTTTTGAAAACACCACCGTTATCGTTTCCATGTAAACACCAAAAACGGTGACTTCAACGCGCGTGCGTAGTATGTGTTAGGTATGTAGACATGCGCAGTACATGTCGATTTTAAAGGCAAGCGCGAACAAACACACACAACAATGGCGGAGTACATGGTACTGTTGTTGCTGTTTAAGAGTTTGCTAACACTTCTCCAGCAAAGTGTGGATTTACTTCACCAATATTACAACCAACAGCGGAGACGCATCATATACATGATTGTATGATTGTATGATTGATATGATTGTACCTTATGATGTATGACGATGGCAGAGCAGTCAGTAGTGCCATGGGCAAGCCGAAGCCAAAGTATTTGAAATGACAAGAGAGCAAGTAGTCAAAGACAATTTTCATTTTTGGGTGGGCTATCTCTTTAATCACAACCAGACTAAGGGGCCGTTTAAACAACAATGTTTTCAGCCAAAAACGGGAAACTTTTTATGCGTTTTGCCTGTTCATTTACACGACAACGGCGTTTTGGGGAATGAAAACGCATATTTTTGAAAACGGGTTTCAAAGTGCAAGTTTTTGAAAACACCACCGTTATCGTTTCCATGTAAACACCAAAAACGGTGACGTCAACGCGCGTGCGTAGTATGTGTTAGGTATGTAGACATGCGCAGTACGTGTCGATTTTAAAGGCAAGCGCGAACAAACACACACAACAATGGTACTGTACATGGTACTGTTGTTGCTGTTTAAGAGTTTGCTAACACTTCTTCAGCAAAGTATGGATTTACTTCACCAATATTACAACCAACAGCGGAGACACATCATATACATCATATAATCGTCACTTCACTACAGGTACTGTTTACTAACAAGGTGAACTTGTTAGTAAAACTACTGGCCTGGCATACGTAATACAGCGTTTTTGGCCACTCGGATATGTATAACGGGAATCGTTTTGAAAACGTTGTTGTGTATACGTGAAACTTTTTAAAAACGCAAGGGAAAAACTTTTCCGTTTTGGACTACATCGTTGTCGTGTGAGAATGAGTCGAAATGGACTCAGCGCGAACAAACACACACAACAATGGCGGAGTACATGGTACTGTTGTTGCTGTTTAAGAGTTTGCTAACACTTCTCCAGCAAAGTGTGGATTTACTTCACCAATATTACAACCAACAGCGGAGACGCATCATATACATGATTGTATGATTGTATGATTGATATGATTGTACCTTATGATGTATGACGATGGCAGCGCAGTCAGTAGTGCCATGGGCAAACCGAAGCCAAAGTAATACGGCCAGTTTCTCTCAATGTTTGACAGCCTTTGGTGCATTTCAATCCCTTCAGAAGAGATGCAATGTCAATCAGGAAAAGTTTAGAGTAGATACTCTGATCGTTTATCACACTGACTGATCAGAGGAGTCACACACTTACCGTGATTAAACCAGCGATATTCAAAGCAGTAAAGTGAGTAGAGCAGAGACATGTGCAGGAGACTGACCAACTGACCAATAGCATCAATGGGGAAGAGACTCACAATCCATCCCTGAAAAACAACAGACATAAAAGTATGTTTGAATTAGAGAGATAAACAAGTTGAGTGGAGATGTAAAGATTTCAGCGATCTTCTACCTGAATGAGGAAGAGGGCCTGGAGCAAAAGATTGAAGAGCATGTCTGCAATGATCTTGCTGACGCTGGGAAAAGGCTGAGCTTTCCGTCCAGACACTTCAAACGCCAGATCAGCAATGTCCTGCCCAGCAAAACAGAACTAAATTTACAACTTTATATTTCCAATATTACAAAACAGATATGTATATATGTAGCCTATGTGGTTCTTGAGCACCAAATCAACATTTAGGAATGATTTATGAAGGATCATGTGACACTGAAGACTGGAGTAATTCAGCTATAACATCACAAGAACAAATGATATTTTAAAATATATTAAAATGAGAAAACAGTTATTTAAAGCCGTAATAAAACTTCACAAGATTTTTGCTTTGACTGTATTTTTGATCAAATAAATGCAGCCTTGGTGAGCATAAGAGACTTCTGTCAAAAACATTTAAAAATCTTAACAACCCCAAACTTTTGTACGGTACTAGTGTACATACTGGAAACTGGGCATGCTGATGACTTTACCACTATGAAGTCCTGCCTAACTCAATAAGCATCGTAAAATCACTGTAAAAAATGTTTTGGGTTTTTTTGCTCTAATAAATTGAAAAATACAAGAATGCTGATTTCACGATCAAACCAGCAAGCCACTCATAAGATATGTACAAAAAAAAAAGTCTCACCTGGAACCAAATGGCATTGACTATCTTGCTAAGCACAAAGAGAGGCAGAACCCAGAGAGCACTGAATACAGATGTCAGGATGAACTCCAGCCAGGACCACACGTTACCATGCAGCGAAGGGTCACCTAAAACCAGATCAGCAGGACAAGCATAAATACAAAGACATATCTGGACTATATGACATGAAAGTTCCTTAAAAGCACCACATACCTATGATTCTAGCAGTGAGGGACTGTAGCAATGGTATAAATACCCGATAAAACAGGAACAGGCTTAGCTGTGAGAGAAAACAAATGGGATTTTTTTATATAATAGTTTAGCCTATGCATAGTTGGCCAAGAAGAGATTGAGAAACATACCCAAAACACGCCTCCATTCCAGGCACAGCACTGAAAAATTCGACTTGCTAGTTTTGGTTCACTGTTAAAGAAAGAAGCATATTTTATCAGGACTGATAGTATTATAATAAACTGAATGGATGAATTTGAATGGCACATCTACCTGTCCTGTTTCCGTTCATCGCTCTGAGCCCGTCTCATCGCCAGGGCCCCGCTCGTTCTGCGCCTCCTCTGCTCCTCCCGCTTCTGCTGAATCCGAGCATCGAGCTTAGAGATGGTTCCAATGCCCAGGATGGAGTCCTTGATCCCCTAAAATGAAACAGAAAGATCGCCACTTGGATTAAGGCCCACTTGTGTGAATGATGTTAAAAATTGACTGAATACAGTAAAAGAACTGATTTTAATACATTTTAAAAAGTAATTTATTCCTGTGATGCAAAGCAGAATGTTTAGCATAATTACTCCAGTCTTCATTGTCACATGATCCTTCAGAAGCCATTCTAATATGCTGATTTGCATTAAAAGAAAAATAAATAAAAGGCCAGCTTGTGTTTCCAACCAGGACCCAACACCAAGAACTTACAGATGTTGATGAGCTTTCAAGTAGTACATTAAAACATTAGGTTTATTAGATTAGGTTCTGACCATCGCAACATTGCGGACAAACGCTCTGACACTGTCCGTCATCTCCACACCGGCTGCAGAGTCATCAACTGCAGGAGGGACAGCCAGGGGCCAGGCAAGATCTCATGACAGGAGGAGGACACGCCTGCAAACTGTCCAGAGAAAGACAACTCTTCATATCTGAGGCTTCATAACTTAACATGCTTTAATTTCAGTGCTAAGCCATTTGATCCAGCGGCTTTGAAAAAAAAAAAACTACAACACTGAAAAACATTAGTCATGAACTGAAATAAAGGAATAAATTAAACAACGTGCCATCAATTTTATTAGAGGGAACTTAGAGGCCCACAACTGAAATGACATGACATGTATGCTGAAACATGCCCTAGTGGAACTCCATGTGATCAAGGGGTCACACATAAATGTTTAGTTTTGAAATGTTGTTGTATGCATTTGTCATTTTTATTTAATTTCTTTTATTTTCTTACGTGTGTATATATACATATATAGTATTTATAATTACTTTTTCTTATTTGTAAGTCGCTTTGGATAAAAGCGTCTGCTAAATTACTAAAAGTAAATATACAATAACAATCATATTTTTACAATACATTTTGACCAGAACTAAAGCTTGGTGTAGATTAGAAAATAACACTCTATATGTCCAAAAGAACGCATAATATTTCAGGCCAAATAAGATTATCATCATTTCGATGATCAAAAAACACTGTAACGAAGCAGTTTGATGGACCAGTTCTCTAGTAAACAACAAAGCCAGCAGCATTAGCCAGTAGATCATTAGCTGAGCAGCTAAATACAACTTATAATAGATATTATGGGACACCTATAACCATAGAAAGCATGTCAACATATCAATCCAGCACATCGTACCTCATATGCCTATTTAGGCTAAAATCTTCTCTTCTCCTGAAGCCTTGAAGTATCACTCTCTTTTCTCAAGCTCTCACCAAAACAGCATCAGGCCAGTGCAGCTGCGCATCCGCGGTGTGGTGAGACATATGACGGGATTTGTAGTTTTTAGACCCCGCTGATTGACAGGAACTACACCGCAGATACCCAAGCGACGCTTTCTGTTTGTTCCTAGAAACATACCGCTTAAATGTCCCTGCCTTTTACTTGATACTGTTGGGCACTTTATTTCAGAATATATTTGAAACATTCATAGCTCTTAAATCAGGAGCACATGGCTGTTTTCAGTATAAGAAACAATCATAGGAGGCGATATGTTATTCTGTTTTTGAGTCTCGCGTGCTTTATTATATACCGACACTTCAGGTAAGGCAACATTTCTAAGTTAAAAAGTCTTTAATATTTAATCTTTTTATATTTGATTTTTTTTTTTTTTTGCATGCAGCTGGACAGAAGGAATACGCAACATAAAAATAAATTAGTCAAGTAATTCACTATTCAACTCAGAATTAGCAGGGTTTTTTAATTACACGGTATTTTAATGTGTCCTTGTTAAAGTGTATTTGCATGTTTAGGTACTGAGTAATATTAATTACCAACATGTAGCCTACTTACTATAAGGTTAGGGTGAGTATTAGGTTTACGAGCAGTTGAAGTAGGCTAACTATGATGTAGCATAATTTACTGTTACTGCTATAGTATGTAGGCCTACATGTAAAATAAGGACAACAATAAAATCAAATGTTACCAATGTTGTAGAAGTGTATTTACAGGAAACATTTAGTTTTTAACTTCTCTTTGTAATTGTGCTTCTTGGCGAGTTATTCATTCATTCACTGTGCTTCTTTACGAATTCCAGCTTTCAAGTATTTATTTATTCATTTACGTTAAATGCTTTAATTGTTCAAATTGTATTAGTTTCAAAATAACTAGGCCTAACTGTGCTTTACTAATTTCAACTTTCAAATATGTATTTTTGTTTGTTTATGTTAAATGATTTAATAGTTATTAACTGTCTATGATTTCAACTTTCAAGTATGTAATTATTTATTCGGGATACAAATGGCGATAATCAATTTCAAAATAGTTAACTGTGCTTCTGTCTTTTGAGAATTTATTTATGTATTTATAATTATTCAATTATGAATTCATATTAATGGGCAAAAAGAACTTCAAAATAATGAACTGTGCTTCTTAACTTTCATGTATTTATTTATTTGTTTGTTTTTTCAGTGATTTAACTGTTGAAATGTTCATGTAAATTTCCCCAGGGAAAATGTTCTATTTTCTCTCAGTGTTTCTCTTGTTGTGTGTCCAGAGGTCCGACAGTAAAGATAAGGATAAATCGATCAGTGGGTCTGAGGGTGAACTCTTCCCAGTTCACTCTGGGAGGAAAGCCCTTTCGTATTCTGGGGGGCTCTTTACACTACTTCCGCTTGCCCAGAGCTTACTGGAAGGATCGGATGGTGAAAATGAAAGCCTGTGGTCTCAACACTCTCACTGTGTAGGTTTGAAATGGACAAGCACAGTCAATGATATTGAGAAGCATTCAGTAATCAGACTGGGTTTATCTTGCAGTGACGTGCCATGGTCTCTCCATCAGCCAGAGAAAGGAGAACTACGTTTCCAGGGAGGCCTTGACATAGAGTAAGAAATCCTCCCTATCCTTTCCCTAATTCCCACATGTGAGAACATTAGCGCTATATGTGAGCAGTGTATTTTGATCCTGGAAGGATCTCTCACCTGTATTTAATGCCTTGTTGGACTTTCACTCACGGTAGTTAGACAAACATCTCTGAGAGCTCCTGTTGCCGGTCCTCTGACAATACTGTCGGTCTGCTGTTGTCAGGAGGGACTTTGTTCTCATTCTTGTTTCATCCTGGTCTGCATCATTATCTGGGCTCTGCACAGCACTGGGAATACATCATTAATGTAGATCCTTGCTCTTCCATAACAACACAACCCTCCAACTGCAGAATGAGTCTAATATCATTGCAAAATGTCAAGATCTTTTAAAATCAGAGTGAGGTCTGAAGCTGTAAACGACATGGTAGAAATTCTAAAAGGTCATGTGATCAAGTGGTTACAGAAAACATTGTTAAATGCTTAAATTATTAAATGACAATAATTCAGTTCTAAGTAATTAATTATGCTTCTTTACAAATTCCAACTTTCACACATTTATTTAATTTTCTGTTAAATATTCTTTAACTATTAAAATCGTAATAATCCATTTTTAAGTAGTTAACGGTGCTTCTTTAACTTTCAAATATTTATTTAGATAAAATGGCTATAATTAATTTCTAAAAAAAATAACCATGCTTCTTTACAAATTCCAGCTTTCAAGTATAGATTGATTGGTTTAGTTAGTTAGTGAAATACTTTAATTATTAAAATGGCAATAATTCATTTTTAAATAATTCACTTTACAAATTAATATTTGTATATTATATTCATTCAATATTTATAGAATTTATTTAATTTATTTTGTTAAATGCTTTAGTTATTCAAATGGCAATAATTAATTTTCTTTTGTTTCTTTACAAATTCCGACTTTCAAATATTTATTTATTTGTTTATTTTAACTATTAATTTAATACTTTATTTATAATTCTTTGACTGCTATCTGATCATTTTAGGTGTCTAATTTTTTTGTCCATCCATTTCACAGAAGTTATCTTCACTTGGCTGCAGAGGTGGGACTCTGGGTAATTTTACGTCCAGGACCGTACATAGGCTCTGACCTTGACCTTGGAGGACTGCCCAGGTGATTTCTGCCATTGAATGAAATATAAACGGCTCTACTGTAGCATAACTTTCAAGTCGTATCCTGCAAATTCCAGAGAAGATGTGATTAAAAACTGTGAGGCAGCATTCAAACCAAAATGATGTGCCACACTTTGTGGTAATGCATGTCATGAGGGGAATAAAAAAAACCTTTTACAAAGAGCTACAGTTAGATATCCGGTGTGTCTTCATTTTGGTAGTCCACTTTAGATATTCTACTAACTTTGCAACTACATTACCAACCACCAGTCATTAGAGTATTAGTAGTCTGTCTGCTTAATATTTGCTTACAGATGGTCCTCCAACAGACATTCTACTAAGCAGTCTTTACAAGTACATGTCAACTTCTTCTACTAACCTTAACTTACCAGTCCACTAATATTTTAATGACAGTTAGTTGCAAGTAGAATGTCTAAAGTGGACTGTCAATGTCAAGTTTAACATCACACCGAAAGATAAATTTGTTCTACTTCTCTCACCACAAACAAACCACTTCCCTCTTCAGCTGGCTTTTGCGTGATAGAGAGATGATGCTGCGTACCACTTACCCAGGATTCATAGCGGCTGTAAACGTGTACTTCGATAAGCTCATTCCCAAAGTGGTGCCTTTCCAGGTAGGATTCTTTTTGGAACACAAGAAGTGCTAAAAAACGTACTCTGACTGATCTTTGACGTTGGGCTTATATGATGTCAGTTTAAGAAAGGTGGGCCTATCATTGCCGTTCAAGTGGAGAACAAATATGGATCACATGCAAGAGATGGAAACTACATGTCATTTGTCAAAGAGGTACAGTATGAATAAACATTCCAAACTCCGATGTCATGCTTTTTCTCGATTTTAATTCAATTTCTTCCAGGCTCTCCAAGACAGAGGCATCAGTGAAGTTCTCCTAACATCAGACGACCATGAGGGTCTAAAATATGGTGGAGTCCAAGGAGGTACAAACAAAACATGAGAATTAAATCCAAAATTGAATCCAATTTAAAACAACACATTAGTGCTGGGCGGTATACCGGTTCATACCGAATACCGTTGTTTATTTTTGTTATGATATACATTTTTTAAATACCGCAATAATAGTATGTCGCTTAAACAACGTTCGGAATGCGACACTGTTTGAAAGGGGTCCCTTTTCACTGTTGCACTGTGGTGAGGGCACAGCTGTATGTGTTACTAAGCGTGAAAGTTCCAAAACTGAAGCTGTAGAACTAATAGAACGTGATGACACAGAAGAACTCATCCACAATATCCACATTGACCGCCACAAATATCCACCGCCCCCTGCCATCAGCTCCCGCGTCTCTCACACACACACACGAGCGCGACTTTAGCACTAGATTTAGCAACCTTCATACCCTTTTAGCGGCTTTTTTCCATAGAATATTCATACTGACAAACCTAGCGACTTTCTAAAAACCTTAGCTATGGTTCAGTTGTAAGATTTCGCCAGTGCTGTCCCACGAACGCGAGGTCTGACTTTCCCGGAGAAGTGTCGCCTCTCTCGGCGTCTGTTCTGTGCAGTGAGTGGCAGAGAAGCAGCGCATTCAGTTGGCCGCACCGCAGCCGACTCGTCAATAAATGAGTACAAAACAGCGTTTCCTAGCACCTGTCGCTTACTGATTGTTTGGAATTATAAATATGAGCGTAGTTCATCTGTTAATATCACATGCACTTTTTTGTTTGTTGTTTTTTTTTAGTTTGTTACTCAGACGCAGGCAGTGCGCTGCATGAGACAAAAAAGTAATATAGCCAAAACAACGCATAGCTGCTCTTTAGTGTAGATGCATGTTGATTTTATCAGACGATGCCGCGATTATAAATGAGAGAGACTCCTGGTTAACGTATTAAAAGGGGTTGTGTTTAGTCACTATTTAGTGTGGTATTCTTTGACAATATTCACTCATCATGACAGTAAAATAGGACATTCTAAGTCAATATACTGCAGTATTTCCTCTCTCAATCAGTAGAAAATATGGTTAACACCCGGTCATGCATGAAAAAAAAAATACCGCCATGTACCGTGAAACCGGTATAATTTTGAAAAATACCGTGATATCAATTTTTGGTCATACCGCCCAACACTACAACACATGACCAATCACTATGGAAGCAATCACTGCAATATGTAGACACATCATTACCAATCAAAATCAATGACGTAATACATTATTAGACCTGCCTCTTTGCATAGAAAAAATACATACACCATAAACACATGAATAATGGAAAAAAAGAAAGAAAAAGAAAAGAAAAGCTCTATAACATCATTACATCATTGATTTTGATTGGTAATGATGTGTCTACGTACTGCAGTGATTGGTCATGTGTTGTTTAAAATTGGAATTGTTTTTATATGCCTGATGAAGGTCAAACGTTGTTAGTTAATAAATATTTTGATACATTTGCAAGTGCGGATAGTGTGCAGGATTTATTCTTCTTTTTTAGTTTTTGAAGTTTTGATCTTTTTTGGTTGTTTTTCCTATGCACCTATCAGTTACAGGTGTGTGAGGGTGATTGTTAAATGATCCTTCAGAAATCATTCTAATAAGTTGATTTGCTGCTCAAGAAATATTTTTTATTATCAATGTTGAAAACAGTTGAGCTGTTTAATATTTTGGGGAAATTGTGATATTTTTTTCCACTTTTGATCAATGAAATGCATCATTGGTGAATAAAAGTATTAATTTCTTACACACACACACAATTACCGACGTCAAACTTTTGAACAGTAGATTAGATATGAACAATAAAAAGTGATTGCTGTCAAATATTCTTTCCTCCATCACAGCTTTAAGAACTCTAAATCTACAGAAAATTAATCATGATGACATCAAATATCTGGAAACACTACAGGTAGATATTTTAGTGTCTGTTTTGTAAATAAAAGTGTTCTATGAAACGTTTAACATTACTTTAATCTCATGTGCATAAAGCCCAACAGTCCTGTGCTGATGATGGAGCTCTGGACAGGGAGGTCTGATGGATGGGGCGGTTTACACCATAGTTTACCTGCAGAGGGTAAGATGATGTCATATGACACAATAAGAAAAACGAAACATAGAAATTAATAAAAATCAATAATATTTTAATATTTTTAAATGAATCGGTTAAAGCAATAATTATTAATGTTTTATTGTACTTTTTTTTCTTTTTTTTTTTAAATAGTGTTCTATTTATTTACTATTTATTTATATTAATTATTTTAAAAGCCCTTGACAAATTGCCGTTTAACACGATGAACATAAAGGGCCAACTGATGTGAAATTTCCTTTCTAATATAGACTTGCTTGCCGTGGTAAGAGAGACACTGAGACGAGGAATGTCCATCAACCTGTACATGTTCCACGGAGGGACAAACTTTGGCTTCATGAATGGGGCATTGGCCAACCCATCTTACAAAGCTCTGGTTACAAGCTATGGTTTGTATTAAGGCACGATCACACCAAGGACGATAACTATAAAGATACCGATGAAGATATAGTTCTAAAAATCGTTCTCAATATTAAAGAATAGCAGAGTCCACACCACAGCTATAACGATACAGAGGAATGATATCGTTGGAATCACTTTTTGTTCCAGCTGATACAAACATTGACACCCAATCAGAATCCATCCTGCTATAACGAGCTTGAGAATTTAAAGAAGCAGACGAGCGTGCGGTATCATTAAAAAAATTCTCTTTTTATGTTTCACATGAAAAAGGATGTCAGGTTTGGAACAACATGCGGTTGGGGGTGATGATTGCGATCTTCATTTTCGGTGAACTGATGTTGTACTTCACAATATGTCCAGACAGTGTGTGGAGCTATCAAGTACAGCACAAGCATTTCATGTAGGACTGAAAAATTGTATTTGAAAACGCGTAACACAAGCCTTTCTTTCTCTCTCTCTTTCTTTTAGATTATGATGCTCCTCTGTCAGAAGCAGGAGATTACACACAAAAGTACCATCTTCTCAGAGATCTTCTCAGCAATTTCAACAGTATGTGATCCCATCCTTTAAGTAATAGGGTTTTACTTAGTTTCTTTGTCAAAACTGATTTGGAGAAATTTAGCATTACATTACTTGGTCACCAATTGCAGTGAATGGGTGCCGTCAGAATGAGAGTCCAAACAGCTGATAAAAACATCACAATAATCCACAAGTAATCCACACAACTCCAGTCCATCGATTAACATCTTGTGAAGTGAAAAGGTGCATGTGTTTGTAAGAAACAAATCCATCATTAAGGTTTTTTTACTTTAAACTGCTGCTTCTGGACAAAATACCGGACCTAATCCGTAATAATGCTTCCTCCAATGCAAAAGTCCATCCCCTGTTGTCCTCTCACATCAAAATCCACCATTATATTTGTTTAGAATGGTTTTCACATGTAAATAGTGCTAGATCTGTGCATATTTTTCTCCTGATGCTGATAAGACAACTTTTATACTGGAGAAAGCAATTTTAGATAGAGGACTCGTATTTTAGCCAGAAACAACGGTTTGAAGTTTAAAACATCTTAAAGGGTTAGTTCACACAAAAATTAAAATTAGCCCACAAATTACTCACCGTCAAGTCATCCGAGGTGTATATGACTTTCTTCTTTCAGACGAATCAAGTCGGAGTTATATAAAAAATTGTCTTTGATCTTTCAAGCTGTTTCATGGCACTCAGCGGGTGTTGCATGCATCAGTCCAAAAGAAGTTAAATGTGTACAGTTGTACACGGAAGCAGTTCCGGGCGGATGATGTATGAGGTCAGTGCTGCGCATGCGCCGCTCAGAAGTGACGAACGCGGAAGCGCAGTGGAGAAATCAAAGCAAAACACCGGTCACTTATTAGAAGTACAAAACGAGGATTTGTAAAGAAGAATGTCGGAGGATTTCGATATAAGCCAAGAGGAGACTGGTTTTCCTTTGCTAAAGTAAGGAAACTTTGCTTCCTTTGCTCCTGTTAACAAACGTTGGCTTTCACGAGACGCGCGTGCGCAGCGCTGAACTCATACGTCATCCGCCCGGAGCTGCTCAACTGTTGGCGCAAGCTACATTAAAGTGATGATTAAGTTTTTAATATGGATATTTTTCTTACAAAAACGCATCGATTCGCTACAGGAGGCCTTTGTTCACTCCCCGGAGCCGTGTGAGACACTTTTTTTTTATGGATGGGCGCTTTTTATTTAACTTCTTTTGGACTGATGCATGCAACACCCGCTGAGTGCCATGAAACAGCTTGAAAGATCAAAGACAATTTTTAATATAACTCCGACTGGATTCGTCTGAAAGAAGAAAGTCATATACACCTAGGATGACTTGACGGTGAGTAATTTAAGGGCTAATTTTCATTTTTGGGCGAACTAACCCTTTACAGACAGATTTGTTTGTTATAAAAATGCAGCTTTTTGCACATTCATCTTGGATTCTTTCAACATTTTGGATGCTGTACAACATATTATCGATTTATATTATTTTCCTCCCGTCCATGTGGCCTTTTTGGAAAAGTTACTACATTGTGTCTAATAATAACATGCTCACGTGTTTTCTGAGCTGTGCTGATTTCTCTGATGCTCTTCAGGTGAAATCCTCTCTGAGATGCCTGGTCTCCGCTGGAAAGAAGAATATGAGGCAACCATATTGTTCCAGCATCTGTCCCTGTGGGACGCTCTGCCATACACACATGAGGTAAGAAGTCTACATGACCCTGACTTTACCCTGAGAAACAGAAACATTTACTTTGAGAAATGAATCTCAAAATCCAACTTCTTTACCCTCGAGCCTTTCAAATCCCAATTCCCGGTCAATATGGAGAATCTGCCTGTGAATAACGGTAACGGCCAGGCATATGGATACACCCTCTATGAGACCACCATCATCAGAGGAGGCTCCTTAAAATCAGGACGCAACATCCAAGACAGAGCCCTGGTTAGTGCTGATAAACTGTTAAGCTGGGTTGTTGTATATGAATATGCATCTGCTCTAATTTAATTTTAATCAGGATTTCCCCCCTAGGTTTTTTTGAACCAAAGTTTCATTGGCATTTTTCATCACAGAAATGTAGAATTAGCTGTTCCTGATGGAAAGGTATGATTTTATTTTTTTTACATCTTTATATCTTATTTTTGTTCTGTTAATGTTGAGTTGGTCTATTAAAAAACATGATCTTATAATTGTAATATCTTGTAATAATATCTATCCCATTTTCTATCTATTAATATAATATATAAAAACATAAACTCTACAGTTCAAATGCTTAGGGTCAGTAAGATTTTTCTTTGAAAGAAAGAAAATTAATACTTTAATCCAGCAAGGAAACATTAAATTGCTCAAAAGTGACAGTAAAGACATTTATAATGTTTCACCAGAGAACCCTAAAAAAAATGTATCACGGTTTCCACAAAAATAAGCAGCAGCTGTTTTCAATATTGAGAATAATAAGAATTGCAGCAAGTCAGCATATTAGAATGATTTCTGAAGACTGGCATAATGATCCTGAAAATTCAGCTTTAACATCACAGAAATAAACTGCATTTTAAAATATATTCAAATAGAAAATAGTTCTTTTAAATTATAATATTTTACAATATTACTTTTTTTACTGTATTTTTGATCAAATAAATGAATTGACTATTGATTATCTGTAGGAGAAACGCACTTTGAGTCTGCTGGTGGAGAACTGTGGACGTGTGCATTACGGTAAAGACATGGACAACCAGCGCAAAGGTACAGTTAATGACCATCAGTGCTTTGTGTTTTAAGATGTCACAGTCTCTCTGAAACATAACTATCAACCTATTCAAAATCTGTTTTCAGGTATTGTTGGGAACATTTTATTAAATCATACGCCTCTTAGAGACTTCACAATATATAGCCTGGATATGACTCCTGACTTTATTGACAGGTGAGTAGAATCTTACTATGTGACAGGCCATGAAAGATAAAAGAAAAGTAATCATTTATGCTTTTATTTCAGCTTGTACAGGGCACCTTGGAAGTCCGTCCCTAACAAACTAAGCTTCCCAGGATTTTTCCAGGGAAGGTTATTTGTGAATGGATATCCCAGTGACACTTTCATGAAGCTGCCAGTGAGTTTAATGAATTAGGACAAAATTTGAACGCTTAAAGTAATAGTTCACCCATGAAAATTTGCTGAAAGTGTACTCACCCTCAGGCCATTCACTATGCAGATGAGTTTGTTTCTTTACCAAAACAGATTTTTTTGAGAAATTTAGCATTACATCACTTGCTCACCAATGGGCCCTCTCTGCAGTAAATGGGTGCCGTCAGAAAGCGAGTCCAAACAGCTGATAAAAACGTCACAAAAATCCATACCACTCCAGTCCTTGTGAAGTGAAAAGCTACAAGTTTGTAAAAAAACAATTCCAGCATTAAGGCGTTTTAAATTTCAACCATTGCTTCTGGCCAAAATATGAAATTATAATCCATAATAACACTTCCTCCTGTAAAAAATATTCTTCCCTTGTTGTCATCTCACATCAAAATCCACCAACATATTCGTTTAGAACGGTTTTGGACCGTTTTCACTTAGAAATGGTGTTTGATCGTATTTTACCCAAAAGCAATAGCTTGAAATTTAAAACATCTTAATGATGAATTTGTTTATCACAACATGTGGCTTTTTGGTTTACAACACGTTAATTGTGGACTGGAGTCATGTGGATTCCTTGTGGATTACTGTGATGTTATCATCAGCTGTTTGGAATCTCATTCTGACGGCACCCATTCACTGCAGAGGACCCATTGGTGAGAAAGTGACACTAAATTTCTCCAAATCCGTTCCAATGAAGAAACAAACTCATCTACATCTTGAATGGCCTGAGGGTGAGTAAATTTTCATTTTAGGGTGAACTACTCTTTAAAATTTGGTTAGAAATATTGTACTGATTATTATGTCCCCATGCAGGGTTGGAGTAAGGGTGTAGTCTTCATTAATGGCCAAAACATTGGACGGTACTGGGATGCTGGACCACAGCAAGCTCTGTTTCTACCAGGACCCTTCCTCAACAGTGGAATGAACCAGGTCAGTTTATATACATTTCCATATATACATTTATGCTATATAAATTTTTTGGTATGTGTTTGAAGAATTACTGCAAATGTCAATGTTGAACCACTGATCTATAATAGAGATATAGTGTCAGTGTGTTGAACCCATGTAATATTATTTAGAATCTTGAATAAAATGTTTGGAATTTTAGTGGCGGAATTTGTTTCCATGGCAACAAATCAACAAAAATTCTCAAAGATCTGTTTTTCTTTTATTCAACAGGTGATTGTGTTTGAAGAAGCAGAAGCGGATTTTAAAATCCAGTTTGAAGATTCTCCTGATCTGGGAATGACAGTTGACATTTAATGAACAAAATTCAAGAATGTTTTATGTAAATCAACATACGGCTAAAGGACACATGACTGTACTGTCAAATACATAAACGCTATCAAAGTGCCTGAACAAAAATGAAATGAGCAAAAACTTGTATGTCACTGTTGGATTGTTAAAACATTAATAGCACATTTGTATTAATAGCATGGCTTTGCATTCCATGATATTATCTCAAATGTTTTCATGAAAAAGTGCCGTCTTGCTGGGGACTGTGTAATTTTGTGTTCAAATGGAAAATGTTTGAGCATGTTGAGATGGACTGCCTATTATAACTCAGTTGAGGGTGTGTGTTTGAATGACGGCTTCATTTGTTAGCAAGACACAAGGTAGATTTAGGTTTTTGATTGTCTCATGCTGTTTACTGGCTGAAATTAGTCATATTAGTGCAATATTTCGTTTATTTTTATATGAAAATGTAAATGTTGCACTGGCCATGTAGGCAACAGGATTTTTCTTTTCAGTAATTTCCACAGGCAGCCAATTGGTTACATGAGTGCATTTACTGTATATCCAGCGTTATTGTGTTGTTTTCCCTTTGTGCAAACACTGAGAAAGATTTTATATTTAGCCTAAACTGTATTTTGTTACAGGTTTGTTCAAATTGAACTTACTGTACATGATACCTCATATTTTACAGTTCAATTTAGGAAGGATCTTTTTAAACCATCAGACTTTGGCCTAAATTTCATCTGGCAGACAATAAAACAGGTTTTAAAAAATCCAATTTGAGCCATATTTATGGGCAGAATATGATTGTGTGATCGTGTTCATCAAATACTATTTCTATCTAAACTTCAACTCAAATCAGCTTTGTAAACTTCTTTTAGAATCAACGTTTTCCAGAGCATTTTCTGGAATAAATCACTTAAATCCTTTCTTAACTGAGAATTGTTCTTCAATGAGAGTGTCTTAAGTCTGGAATACACTGCACGACTTTTAAAATCTGGACAAATCTTAAAACACTATGCATTAGAAACTTTGACAACTTTGTAAATGGTTTTAGAAAAAACAGGGCATCATACACTAAATGAGTGAAGATCACGCATTAAATATGCAGTATTGCATTTTTACACCGAATTTTGAGCAGACAAAAAAAGAGTGTGCCCATCATACACCCTGTGATTTTCTGTAAAATCCGCACTGCAAGAAAATGCCTGTAATTTTAATGGTAAATGGTTATCAGATATGGTGAAAAACTATACATTGGAAGATTTCATGTAAAATACTCTTAAATACAGTAAAAACGCAAGTCAAAAAGAGCATCTTATAATTTAGTGGAAAATTGGTCCTTGTGTGACACTTTGATCATTTTTCATAAAAAAAAAATGATTTGTTATCAGTTATGTACATTGGGGCTTTACGTATGTTACATCTCATGTTGTTAAATTAATGGTTATTGCATTTAAGTCTCATGTATTACCATGATGGTGGTTTGTATTTTTGTGGATGAAACTGTGCACCTTCTAATTATTAATATTCGCAGCTTATGGAAAAGCGACTTGAACGTTGATTCATCGTGTGGCTCCGTCTTTACCACCTGTGGTTTTTATGATAGTTGTCAGTTTATTCTAAAGGTGCCAAACAGATTCTAGTACTCTGGTACTAAATGAGTGAAGATCACGCATTAAATATGCAGTATTGCATTTTTACACCGAATTTTGAGCAGACAAAATAAAAAGAGTGTGCCCATCATACACCCTGTGATTTTCTGTAAAATCCGCACTGCAAGAAAATGCCTGTAATTTTAATGGTAAATGGTTATCAGATATGGTGAAAAACGATACATATATTGGAAGATTTCATGTAAAATACTCTTAAATACAGTAAAAACGCAAGTCAAAAAGAGCATCTTATAATTTAGTGGAAAATTGGTCCTTGTGTGACACTTTGATCATTTTTCATTAAAAAAAAATTATTTGTTATCAGTTATGTACATTGGGGCTTTACGTATGTTACATCTCATGTTGTTAAATTAATGGTTATTGCATTTAAGTCTCATGTATTACCATGATGGTGGTTTGTATTTTTGTGGATGAAACTGTGCACCTTCTAATTATTAATATTCGCAGTTTATGGAAAAGCGACTTGAACGTTGATTCATCGTGTGGCTCCGTCTTTACCACCTGTGGTTTTTATGATAGTTGTCAGTTTATTCTAAAGGTGCCAAACAGATTCTAGTACTCTGGCATTTTGCCATTATAAGACAATGACGTTATTTAACTCTAAATTAGTTCAGTCTGTAAAATCCGTACTATATTTTTTGCAATAAGGTTCTAGCAACTTCAGCTGCTGTTTTTTTTTTTACCATAAATTTTATAGATTATTTTTTACAGCGTGTCAACTTTTGCCCAATATCTGTAGACTGGCTGTGACTTTTCAACATGCATCGACTCCTCCAGACTGCAAATCAGGGCAAAAATCTGGGCAAAAGTCATGTAGTGTATTCCAGCCTTAAGTCAAATACTTCAATGTGTCTCTGATTGTTTACATTCAATGCAGTAAACAATATGTTTTATTACTTCTGTTACAGATACTTAGGCTTTGCTCAACTTCAAAAACAGTATGAAAGCAGTTCATTATACTTCCATGCTGCCATTCGTGAATCCCTTTTTTCCTTCATTCACAAGCAAGGGTCTTTCTGTCCGAGTGTGCCAAACCAGTATCTAAAAAAAACAAAAAGATGAACACATTTTTCTGTTAACGTTGACAAGCCTTTTGATTTCAAGCCAGGTTATGAAGATTCAGATTCACAACTGACCTTTGTGCAGTTAGCGGCTTTGGGTTCCAGGTCACTGAGGGTGACCAGATCCTGTAGCAGACTACTTTCCTGGTATCCACCTTTTACCCCTTTTAACTTGAAGTAGGCTTGAGGTTTGCTGAGGATGAGCTGAAGGTTCACGGCAAACCCAGCCATGTCGATGGCGAAAGGTCGACGAGGGTCAAACACCGTCCTCCAGCCGAACACTTTGCCTTGAGAGTTGATTTTGGGCGATTCGTATCGGAGACCTCCAACGAAGGCAACCGGCCATACTGACGCTTTACGAGTCCAGCGCATCTGCGGTATGAGGAAGATGGAATCGGTTAAGTGAAACAACACTATGAATGGTAGACCAAATGTACCGTACCTCCTCGAACAGCTCCAAGCTGTAACTATTGTCATCATCTGCAAAATACACGACTCCTTTATGACTGGAGTTTGGGTTGATGTTCTCCCTGAGCCAGCGGAGAGCCAGGTTCCTCTGCATGGTGCCTCGTGGGATACGTACATTTCTGGGCTTCTTTTGTGTCTTGAGATTCTCAGGCGTCTCTACATTCAAGTGAGTGTAATTCAGTCCCGTGTTCTCCAGCAGCCTGGACATCAGTGCCGTCTTCTGCGCCGAGTCCTCCACCACCAGCCAGTGAAGGTTGGGGACGTGTAAGAAGGTGTTAGTGAGGCGGGTCAACTCGGCCTTTTGGACGGGTCTACTGTAGGTTGGTGTTATTACGTGAAGAGTTGGCAATGTGTCAGACCAGGGTGGAGGTCGCTGGTGGATGTACCTCATCTGGTTGACCTTAGTGATGCACTTGTTCTCCGTGACGCAGGACTCATGAAGTCGAAAGCCTCTTTGGTGAGCTTTACTGGCCCTAGTTCTGTTATCTGTCCATCAAAAAAAACAAAATTGGGGGTTTTATTTTTGTGGTGCATCTAGTGTCACAGCACTTGCCATTATTGCACAAAAGTGGCATACTATTGACATGCAAGGCATTTAATTGCACTATATCAAGAAGTAAACAAAAATGTGAGTGAGCAGTACTTGCAAATTCCAAAATTATAAAACCATGTTTCATAAAAGTATATACTGCACTAACATTTGAGAGCTAATATTTTAAATGTGACCACATTGCTACTACTAAAATTGACAGTGAGGTGTCCTTGCAAATTCCAAAATTATAAAACCATATTTCATAAAAGTATATTGCTCTAATGTTTGTGAGCTAAATGTGACCACATCGCCACTACCATACGGAGAATATCATTAGTTGGCCCTCATCCACTATACAGTATATAAATTTTACTGGCACAATTATTTTGACAATATTCACTGGAAAAAGTGTGGTTACTCTCTAAAAAATACTGCATTTCAAACAAAATAAGATAAGTACATATTAAAGGCACAATATGTAAGTTTTCGTCGCTAGAGTGCGCAGATTCAAAACAAACAAGAAACAAAGGCGTAGCTTGATGACGCTGTGACTGAGTGTGGAATCATGGGAGTTGTCCTCTTCATCCCCACAGCCGATGCAATCCGACGGGACTTGGGCAGAAATCATGTTAATTGATGAGCTAATGTATTAAAGACTTATTAAGGTCACTGTAGTATGAAGCAGGGTGGGGCTAAAAGTCGTGGAAGCGAAACGAGGCCGCTGGAGTGATTGCTAATGAATACACGGCTCGATAGCAGCAGAGCTTTTATTATGCCACAGTCGACTGATTCTGCTTCTTTCGGTCATGCGTATGTGGGGGAAAACAGCGCTGTTTTATACCAGATACATTTGAGTGTATTGAAAGTTCCGTTATAATGCTACTCTGTGCGTTCGTCACCTGTCTAATAATATTTGGGGTTTCCATGTTTTCAACCAAATAAAACCGGAAAAATCGAGGGGTTATGACGTCATTGGCAGGCGACACAATAACACTATAGACACGGTCCGTGTCACGTGTTAAAATTGCTTATTTCTCTGGATTTAAACATTCTTCAAAACATTTGGGATAATGTATGTACACAAGTCAGCAAAATATAACACTGTTCTAGTGGTTTTGGGATATTTTAATCAAAAAAATCTTACATATTGTGCCTTTAAGACTGCATGATATCTATCCAACTAGCTCCCAAATTGCTACTTTTGCTGATGTTTCTGGTTTGCGTATTCTGTAAGACTGAGGAAGACACTTTGCTTAGTTTATTTTATAACTGTGATCAGATACTTGTGAATGTGATCTAGATTTTTCACTGAAATATAGCCTACATTTCTTTATTTTTCTGACAATAACCATGCTGTTGTACTTCTGTAAATTTCTGTTTTGCATTGCAAATTTTTTCATTCACAAGGACAAAGTCCCCAACACGCTGCCTAGATATGTCTTTCTTGCTGAAAATGTAAACGCTGTAAAATCTCTTAAATTCATAAATTATAGAATAACGTATTTCTTAGGAATTGTGATATCTTTTTTACAGACTGAGGTTTCCTTCGTTTACCTTTTTGTACTTTTTTTCTTTCATTTCACTTTATGTTCTTCGTACTTCACATAGCCTACATTGCTGTTTCTTCTACTTTGCAATTAAATATATAATAAAGTAATGCTACCGTCTCAACCGGATAAGCAACCGGATGTGCCACCACAACATCCAACGGCATGTGCTAGTGGCACAAAAAGTATCCACCTGTTTCCGGGGGGCACTACTGTAAAAAAGAACGTGGCGAGGCGGCGGAAGAAGTATACCAATGGTATTTTGTGTGCTAATTAGCGAAGAGGCTAAAGTGTTTTTCGGGTCTTTTCTAGGGATGGGCGATACCACTTATTTTGTTTTCGATACGATACCGATATTTTTCAAGGCAGTATCGTTGATATCGATACCGATACGATACTTCTGAACTAAACTTTAAATTATGAAATGTATTAAATTACTAAGTAAAATGGGTAATGATAACCACTTAACTTTATTTAAAACACATTTTAACATTCAATATGCCTTAATTGTAACGTATTAGGTAATATGTTTGTTTACACATGGTTCAATTATATTTTTTTTTTACACATGATTCGAATCTACAAATACTACAGTTGAACTATGGTCACTTTAGTAAAACCATGGTTCGTTTTCATAAGGCTGTTGCATGCATAAAATGCAACCTTTTTTTGACAGTGAATGATTTATATTAACATTACAGAATAGAACATGATCAATATTATCTTTCAATGTTCAATTTCAATAAATGTAATTGCACAAACTATGTAGGCTAATTTCAATTACTTTATTGTGAAATAACTCAAACATATATGTTTTTTTTTTCTTCTGTCCTCTGATAAGCATTGTCCAGGGCTGCCGTTCCCAAAAGCTTTAATGCTTTCTTATGATACTTTTGGGAGACGCAGCCCTGTTTGAATGCACTGTCAGAAGTGAGAGAACGCTCCCTGTTATGGATTGGTTCTGTCTTGCAACATTTGCGTGTGTTCAGATGAGCAGGAATATAGTTCTATCCTGCACAATTATTTACTAACATAGGTTATTCGTCCAATTCAATGCATTCTTTTTTTGTAAAATAAACAAAATCACTGGTAAATAAAACACACCTTAGTATCGATATTTATAGTTTGAGTATCGATACTTTCGATACTCGCATCAGTATCGATATATCAATACCTCGGATCGATACGCCCATCCCTAGTCTTTTTTCAGGCAGTCGTATTACTATGTTTACTCAAATCCATGGGGTGTAGGAAACTTGTGGATAGCATTTCACTAAATGCATAAATTATCTTGTAGCATTTTAAAGGTAAGAATGATATTAGTATTTACCTTTAGGAACTGGAATCAGGGAGTTGCCAGCGCGCTGGTGCCAAAATGTGATCAATAAAGTCCACGGTAACAAAATCAAAAAGAGTGCCAGGACGTCCCTTCTTTTCGGCATGTCTTATCTGTGGCAAAAAATAAAATAAATAAACAAAATAATCGAATGAACACCGGTAAAATGAAGCATTTATGGTTACCGGTAGTTAATTAACTCTCTCAAAGACATATGAGATTAATCGGACAAAGACAATACATAAACGTATATTACAACTTATCTGCCCAAAATTACATGAATGCGAAAGTGAACTTGAACTTATGTTATAAAAATGCCCGTTCCCTAGTAAAACATTGATAATGATTAACTACAGGGTTTCTGCGGGTCTTAAAAAAAGTCTTAAATTTAGTTGTATCAAATTTAAAGCCTTAATTATGATTTCAAGAGGTCTTAAATTTGGGGACGGAAAGACCAGAATTGCGATATGGCTGAATGTGACGATTAAACTTCAAAAGGCTATGATTTCATTAAATAAACATGAGCGCTGCAGGTTGCTGCTTTATGTTCTGCTGTTACCGGGGAAACAGTTATATTACTACCCACTGATCTATATATGACCCACTGTTCTCTATTATAGATCAGTTGTTTCTACCAAACACTCCACCTGCTGGCAGAGAATAAATGAGCATTTTCAATAAAACTGTTGTTTTGTTCAGAGTTCAGACCAATGCGAAAATCGACCCATGTTTTTACCCTGCAAACACGCAGAGCTTTAAATGTGAACTGGTGAGTTGATAAGAAGACAATGCATTTTAAAATCAAAACGGTATAGGGGTGTGCGATATGTATGGTCTGCAATGATATCGTAATTGTTGTTTTAATGATGTGCAATTTGATATTATCGAGTATATCGCGAAAAGCAAACACAACACCTACAGAGTGCGCGCATACATTACATGATGAAGTCTAGCAGGTTAGACTAGTGAATGCACGTACGCATTTATAATGCGTTCTTTCACTGCATTAATCAGTCTATTAAAATACATTTAGAATTATCACATAATTCAAGATATTGGGCAGAAAATTTATATATTTATATCATTTCATATAGTTAATGTCAGCATGATTACAAATGTGATATTGATTTTATACAACAGTTCAATAAACAATAAGTTAATATTAAGAGATTTACATTTTAGACACCATATTTCCTGCTTTTGCTCTATTTCTCCAACAAAAATCAATCCAAACACAGCCACAGCGCTGTTTTGCGTCTCTGAGCAACATGACGGTGTTTCGTTCCTGAATGAATCAACCGTTTAAATCAGGACTGTCCAAACTTGGTCCAGGAGGGCCAGTGTCCTGCAAAGTTTAACTTCAACCAATTAAACAGCTAATAAAGCTCTTACTAGGCATAGTGGAAATACCAGGCAGGTGTGTTGAGGCAAGTTGGAGCTAAACTCTGCAGGACACCGGCCCTCCAGGACCGAGTTTGGACACCCCTGGTTTAAATGATTCGGTTAAGTGGCAATGACTTACTTAACAGTGACTTGCTGCCACCTACTGGCAGTTTTAATTTCACATTTAAGGTACCTTTTCATTTTTTAAATAATTTCATACTTCAGTTTTCAATGTTTTATGTTTAAAATATCAAAACATTATTTATGCATTTGTAACTGCAGATTAGAGTATTCCATGTCCCTCAGAGCTGCATTAAACAGTGTGTAAATACATCTAAATGCCACTTTTAATGCAGCTTCTGTGCTTCCTCTGCATTGCAAAGATACATTTTGTTGATACTGATTTCATTTGCTTGGTAACAGCCCAAATGCAAGAATTTGACTCAATTTGACTCAAAAGATGGTGCACACTTTTAGAAAAAATGGCTTAAAGGTAAAAATGCCCATAAAACTTGTTGGAAATTATTACTTTCTATCACTGCTGTGAACTGACCACACAGAATCATTATCGTTATCGATAAAATCCCAGAAAATTATCGAGATATCATTTTTTGTCGATATTGCACACCCCTAATTTATGTTATTTAATTGATATAATAATTTATTGATAATTGTTTAAATTAATATAATAATGAATACCTTTGACTCATCCATTTTCTTAAAAATGATTTAAAGGCTGAAATGTAAAGTTTATCATTTTATAAAACGTTTTGTTTTTGTGAAAACTTGTATCTGAACTGTAAATTATGCTTTTTACAGTAATTTTACAGTTTAATATGGTACTATAGACATTGCCCTACCCCGCTCATATGGTATTGATTTTATTTGTGCAGGTCTTAAAAAGGTCTTAAATTTGAGCTTAAAAATCCTGCAGAAACCCTGAACTAATAAATCATAAGTTGCATTGTACTGCAATAGTCGGATTACTCATCATAATGCTATAATTTCAGGAGATCAGGTTTTCACAAAAAGATAGGTTTTTGTTCATACATGTTTAAATTAATATGTGTGAATACTGTTAAATTGTAGTTTAGTTTTTAATTTCACCGTGGACGAAGCCGGGGGTCGTCACATGTGATTGCTGCAAGCCCGCCGGCCTCCGCTTACTCAAGCCGCCGGCTATTTTGGAAGGACACGACTAGAAATCAGTGGTTAAGTTGAATTTACAACACTGTTCCAGAACAGTTCAACCCAAATATTAAAATGTGTGCAGCACATTTTATGGAGGACCGTTTCCTGATCCTGGAAGAGTAGACTACAATGCTGGCTGTTCTGACTCAGACTGTAAGTACATTTTCATTTAAAGAATTTGCCACTGATGATTAAAACGCTAGTTTTGGGCAGTGTAGAGTAGCACTTGTTGTTTGTCATTTCTCCGATCACAAATGCAGACATGGTTTTATGTTTACACGGCGCGATGCAACGCAACGCGTAAAAAGACAGGATAAGTCATTATAATCAGTAATTATGTCCTCACTGGATGCAACAAATGCCTAATTTGTAATGGGTTTTATTGGTTTTGTCTGGTCGAGCCTGAAGACAGCATTACAGTATGATAAGGGGCGTAACATTTCCGTCACACGCTTGAGGTATCCGGCCAATCACAACGCACTGGATAGCTGGCCAATCAGAGCACACCTCACGCTTTTCAGACCGATGAGCTTTGTAAAAATCAACGCGTTTCAGAAAGGCGGGGCATAGAGGAGAAACAATACAGTACGTGGAAAATAATGTGTTTTTTTTTACCTTAAACTGCATAAACACATTTCATTACATCAAATACACAAAATAATTTCCTTTTAAGCAACATCATATGACCCCTTTAAAACTTTTGATTTTATATTTGAATAAACTTTAGATAAAAATAAATACACTTTGTTTATAGACAGGTTTGTTCTTTGTAATAAAAAATATATATAACATGGTGCTGTTTGCTTTGTATTTATTGGTTGCGCCCTCTTCTGGACTTTTGAATATAATAGTCAAATATAATTCGAATTTTGGAAATATAAGTAAAAAAAAAAAAAAAAGGGAGATTGCAGTTTTTTTTTGACAGCTCTACACCCCTTTTAGTTGATCTCATTCATTTTAATCTTATTTTTATTTATCTTATTTTTTTACATTCATTATTTTTATTTGTTTTTCAGTTGAATATTTAAAGCTCAAGGAAATCCACTGTTAAAAAGACAGTTAAAAAAAAAAGTTTAATAAATGCATGTTTCGAAAGTCAGTAAGTAATCTTGTTAAATAATCATGATCTCAGTACTGAACAAAATAAATATGATTATGCTTTTTGCCATAATCGAGCAGACATACCCAACAAGTGGCGTTTGCTTAATTGCATACTTGGGTTTTCACTGCACACAGTGTTCATCCCTGTAACATGCAGCATGATTTGTAGCATATAGGATGAACCAAGTCATACTCTACTTGAAAAAGTGACTGGGAAAAAAAAGATATTCTCTGCAGCTCCTTTCTCCCAGAAAATAGGTCAGCATAAGCTTTAAAGAAATAGTCTACCCAAAAATAAAAAAAGGTGTCTTTTATGTTGCAGCAGGAAAAAAAAAAAAAGCCATACAAATTTGGAAAGACATTTGTGTTAATAAATGACAGAATTTTCTTTTCTTTTTTTTGGGTGCACTATTCCTTTAAACTTTACTTCTGTTGCAATCAAATACAATTTTAAATATACCAAAAGATTCAAATCCATCCTCTTAATCACGGATCTTGTAAGAAGTGTTTGGGTATGTCTTCAGTTTCACATCTTCAGTCAATACTCTGCATGTTAAAAATGAGCTCACCTGTGTTTATCCCTCTCTCATCATAACCCCTCAGCGGTCAGTGTCTGAGTAACTCTATCAGGATCTGCAACATGTCAATAATTGAGACACATAATCACATTTAGATTCAGATATCATGAACAGTAATGAGTCAAGTTTCTCAATAGCTTTCACCCAAATTAATACCATAATATGTACACTCTTAAAAACAAAGGTGCTTATGGCATCGCTGTGAAGAACCTTTTAAGCACCTTTATTTTTAAGAGTGTATCAGGGGTTTCCAACCCTGGAGAGGTATCTTCCTGCAGATTTCAGCTCCAACCCCAATCAAACACACCTGAAACAGATAATTAAGGTGTTCAGGGCTACTTGATAGTTACAGACAATGTGACACCATCCTGATTATAAATCAAGAAATTCCACGGACAACTTTAATTAGTTGAAGGACCTCATTCAAGGTCATGTTACTGAAGCCCCTTGTGAAGCCCATAACGTGCACATGGTAATTTTTTGTCTTAGAATTGTTCAAATATTTAACTTTTTTGGAACCACTATAAAAGTGTTACATTTTATTGGTGCCTATAGTCTTGTGGTTAGTGTGTAGACACACAGCGCAACTGCGCACACAGCAACCTGAGTTCAAATCCTGCCTTGAGGTCCTTTGTCTATCCCGCTCCCCCCACTCCACCCAATGCTTTCCTGTCAGCTCTCCACTGTCCTCTCACAATAAAGGCATAAAAAGCCAATAAATATATATTTCTAAAGAGTGTTAAGTTTTGTTGTCCTTTGGTGCGGCACCCCTAAATTATATATTTTTTCTCCTTTGATAATTTTCTGTTCTTAAATGCATTAATTACATTAAATTTTTTATGATGTTTTTGCAGAATACTTGTACTGTTATAGAATGTCATGAAAATAAGTATAAAATGTGATACTTTGTTTTTGAGATAGAAAGAATTGAGGGAGAGAAATGAGTGGGAGAGAGAGGACATGGGAGAAAATTAAGAGGGATCCACACAGTCGGTAGGAGATCCTAAGAGAACGATGCAGAAAGTAAATAGAATCAAAGTGATGCCTAAATGATGATATTTTTGATGAAATCTGAGAGCTTTCTGACCCTCCATAGATAGCAATGCAACTGACATGATCAAGGACCAGAAAGGACATCATTAACACAGTCCATGTGACATCAGTGGTTCAACCGTAATGCTATGAAGCTACGAGAATACTTTTTGTGCATAAAGAACACACAAATAACGACTTTATTCAACAATTCTTCTCTTCACATTACCATCCTCTGCCATTATGAGAATAACACGACGCATGCGTGTGGTGCTGCTGACGTAGAACAGGCACACCGCTGAGCCTTGATTATGAGTAGAGGAATGCACACGCATGCACATGTGGTACTCTCATTAATGGTGGAGGATAGTAAGTTGGAGGGGAAGAATTGTTGAATAAAGTCGTTTTTTTGTTTTCTTTGCGCACAAAAAGTATTCTCGTAGCTTCGTAAAATTACGGTTGAACCACTGATGTCACATGGACTATTTTGTCGATGTCCTCACTACGTTTCTGGTCCTTGATCATGTCAGTTGCATTGTTGTCTATGGAGGTTTAGAAAGCTCTTGGATTTCAACAAAAAGATCTTAATTTGTGTTTCAAATTTTCTACAGTTTTGAACAGATGACAGCAAAGTTTGTCTTGTTGTCAAAGTTTATCTTGAAAAAGTCCAACAAGTCATGGGGAAAAAATGATGTTATTCATAATTTCATATTAAATAAAAAACACTATGAAAATTAGTGTCTAACAATAGATACATTTCTCTCATGATATTTGTATAGTATTAAGAGGGTTTTACCACAGGACAAATTTGCTGTACAGTTCAGTTAAAAGTTTTTTTAAAAAGGGTGAAAGAATTGACTAAGTTAGTGACCTTTTATATTTTCTCAAACATCAGACTTCACACACATAAATATATGTTTTTCTTCTTCAAAAATGTTTTACAAAAAAAAAACGTTATTTACTGCCCAATATATATATATATATATATATATATACCTTATTATATTATATTAAGTATGTATTCCTGGTCTGCATATCACTCCATGATAATTCATGCAGAACATTATCGCTGGTTTGGCAGGTCATTCTGTCCATGAAGATTTCAGGCATTAAAGATATACACCGCATCAAACAGTAAGATGAACAGAAAACCCAGACATAAACACGCACAGAGAGATTGTTGGATTTAGGTCAAACCATTGTGTGCCTCAGTAAGTCACAAAATAATGAGCACCGCCAGGGATTTAGACTGGAGTCCAAATAAGCCACTGAATCGAGGTGAAGTATTTTATCTGGCCTTAAGTCACCAAATCTGCATCATGATGTAAATTTTTTTTACAAATTATAATATTCTAACTTCTAGAATTTACACATTTTTGACATTTTTATATACATTTACAACAAATAATATAGAATATAAATTAAACAAATTTAAAATCAATTTGTGGGTGAATGTGCTTATTTGTTATGAAAATAATGGCACAATGCCAAACAATAAATACATAAATGCATACATAAACAAATAAAATGAAAATGTTTTTATGAGATTCATTCATAATGTTCTCCAAAACACTGTCAAATAACAGAAACTCCAAGATGGACATTCATGAATCCTTTACTTTCTCTTTAAGGTCAATGATTCAATTTCCGAACTTTCTGAAGATACTTCTTAAGCACCCTAATCGCTTGTCTGTCCCTGTGTCTTATGCTCGCAGCCCAGATTCCCTTCTTACTGTTTAGACAAACCAATAAAAAGGCAATACTGCTTGGTGCCTTACACTTGTCTCAGTTTGTTTATTGTGCGTGTGTCCCAGAGGGAGATATGGTTGTGTTGCTAAAATTGGCTGACAGAGAAGCTGAAGCTCCATATATTCAGCACAAACTCAAGCATGCATAAAAAGCAACTGTGAATTTTGCAAAGATCCTTCCCAGTTTTTTAAACCATGACAGTAAAATAGTTAAACACCATAAATCTTACACTTTTGTTTTTAAGACGAAAACCATATCAGCATCTGCTCAATAGAAAATGAAAAAGATTTAAAGCCAGCTATACTTACATGTTTCATCGTTCTCTCTTTGCCTTGACACAGTCATTTACACACTCTGTTTATCAGTCAGATATCCTGCTGGTGGCCTTTGAGAGAGAAAAGACAATAAGAGATGGAGAGAGAGGCTGCTGGGCTGGTGTCAGCCGTGCCGGGGCCAGCAGGGAGAAGAGAGGTCATCCCTCTGGAAGAATGTGTCCTCTCATTCAGACAACAAAGACTGCAATTGTGGATGCTGATGGGAGATGGCAGCGGAGACAAATGGCACTCATCAACAACGTCACCAACTGAAATTCTCAAAACATGAGCAATACAATAATATTACCTAAGAATGAGGCTTTGTTTAATCTATTAGGGTTCTAAGACTGTTCTGAGATGCTGTGAAGTGTGGGTTTTCCTCCACACAATGTCTGTCCTGTTTAATTCTCACCAATCAGATCATCCCACATGAGTAAAGCTGAAATCGTCTGTCTCAATCACTGTGGAGAGGCTGAGTTTAATAGACGACACAGCAATGAGACAGCAAAATCAGATTGAACTGAAGTTAAATCAGACAGAGATGGAAATCGGACAGTGAAATCAAACTGAAGTGGATATCAGAGAGTGAAATCAGACTCGGTTTGATATCAGACAGTAAGGTCAAACTGAGCTGGAAATCAGACATTAGAATCAGACCGAGATTGCGATCAGAATTAGGTGGAAACAAGAGAGTGAAATCAGACTGAAGTGATATCAGACAGTGAAGTCAAACTGAGGTGGAAATCAGACAATTAAATCAAACTGTGATGGATATTAAGGTGTGAAGGCAGACTGTCGGTAAGTAAAATCAGACTTAAGTTGGTTATGAGACAATGTAATCAGAGAGGGTTGGTATGAGATAGGAATACGATCAAATTGAGCTGGAAATCAGACATTATAATTAGACCAAGGTTGAGATGAGATAGTGAAATCAGACTGTAGACTTTGAACTTAAATAGCTGGATATCAGAAAGCAGAGTCAGCCTGGGGTGTAGATCAGAGTGAGATATCAGACCGAGGGGAAGACAAGACACTGAAATCAGAGTCTGGTTGAGATGAGATAGTGAAATCAGACTCAGGTGGGGATGACACGAAATCAGACAAATCAGACTCAGGTTGACATCAGACAGTAAGGTCAAACTGAGCTGGAAATCAAACAATAAAATCAGACCGAGGTGGAGATCAAATGATGAAATCAGACTGTAGACATTAAACTTATATAGCCGGCTATCAGACAGCAGAGTCAGACTGGGGTGTAGTTAAACTGAGATGCAAATCAAACAATGAAATCAAATTGGGTTGGATTAAAAGGTGTGAAGTCAGGCTGTCAGAAAGTAAAATCAAGTTGAAGTTGGCTATGAGACAATGGAATCGGATTGAGGTAAAAATCAGAGGTGAAGATCAGACTGCAAAATTAGACAGATGGAAATCAGACAGCGAAATCAAATTGAGCTGGAAATCAGACATTAAAACAGACTTAGGTCGAGATCACGCAGTGAAATCTGACTTTGGTGGTAATAAGTGAGTGAAATCAGACTGTCATACCGTGAAATTAGACTGAGGTGGATATCAGAGAATGAAATCAGACTCGGGTTGACATCAGACAGTAAGGTCAAACTGAGCTGGAAATCAGACATTCAAATCAGATCAAAGTGGAGATCAGATGGTGAAATCAGACTGTTGACAGTGAACTTATATAGCTGGATATCAGAAAGCAAGAGTCAGACTGGGGTGTAGATCAGAGTTAGATATCAGATCAAGGTGAAGACAAGACACTGAAATTCAAGTCCGGTGGAGATAAGACAGTGAAATCAAATTTGGGTGGAAATAAGGGAGTGAAATCAGACTGAGGTGGATATCACACTGCAAAATCAGACTGAGATGGAAATTAGAGAGTGAAATCAAATTGGGCTGGGAATTAGACATTGAAATCAGACTGAGGGGGAGATCGAATGGTGAAACCAGACTGGGGTGTAGATCAGAGTGAGATTTTAGAATGAGGTGGTAGTCAGATATTGAAATTAAACTAAAATGGAGATAAAACAGTGAAATCAGACCAATGTGTAACTGAGGTGAAAACAGACAGTCAGAAAGTAAAATCAGAGTGAGGTGGATATCAGACAATGGAATCAGACATATGTGGAGATCAGACTGAGGAATTTAGAGGGGTTGAGGTTGACTCAGGCTGATATCAGAGTGTAAAGTCAAACTCGGCTGGAAATCAGACATTGATATCGTACTGACGTGGAGATAAGACTGTCATTAAATCAGACTGTCAGACAATGAAATTATAAAGCTGGATATCAAAAAGTGAAAGCAGACTGGGGTGTAGATCACAGCGAGATATCAGACTGAGGTGGAAATCAGACATTGAAATCAAACTGAAATGGATATAAAACAGCTAAATCAGACCACGGTGTAAATCAGACTGAAGTGTAAACCAGTGCGTGAAATCAGATGAAATCAGGTTAAATTCAATGAAAAGACAGAGATGGAAAGCAGACTGTGAGATTTTACTTTTTAACTTGCACTTTTCAGATTTGAGTTCCATTTAAATAACAAATAAAGAATATTAGTGAACTATTGTTTACAATGATACAGGTACAGATAGTACCAGTTCCTGAATATTAACTCTACAATCTGAAATGATGCATAATGACTGTTGCTATGGCAACAGGGGGAACAAATCTGGCAGTAGATCGCTGGTACGAACGACAGACGGTTCCTACTGACACTGCCCCTCCCTTCTGTTCTCCCTCTCTCTATCATACTGATGTGTATTGTTTCAATATGAGATTTTCTTCCTACTCCAATCTGCTTCAAAAGATGTGCAAATACCAAAGCTGAAAATTCCCTGATAAATCACACAAAGAACAGTAGACCAGTTTTAGTGGCTTTTAGTTTTTAGAGAGCTCATTTTAAGTGGCATCTGCCTCTAAATCATTTAATCAGGTCATTAAAAGCTGTTAATGCAATCTTTACTTCACGGGACAGTGCTGTGAGCTCCTGAGGTGATTTGGCTGATAGCCACTTTATTGATTTCCATGCACATGACACAGTTCAGTTAAAAAAAAAACCTCTAACTGTACTAATCGAAGCCTTCAGCCTGCAGCACCAGAGAGGAGCAGACAGATAACACTGCACGGTCACGTCCACGTGCTGCAGTGATCACAGTTTCTGAGCTGTAAAGACTAAACCCAGAAAAGAAACACAGAGCGAAATATCAAAACAGCCTTGATAAAATCCTTAGCCCAGCACTTCCATGTGACTGGGTCTGTAATTCTGTAATTGTTTCAGAAATAATTTTTCAATTGCAGGAGTTATAGAATGAATAATAGTTCAGTCTATCGATTGCAGGAGAAGAGATTATCTTACCTGAATGCCTGTCAAGTGTACCAAGTCCCGCTCTGTATAGACTCTTCAGTCATTTTTTTTTCATCTCTTGCTCCTGCAGATGCTTTTTGAGAATACAAAAGAACTAAATTGAAAGACACCTTCTAATCTAATATTTGGTTTTTACAAAACAAAGAAAACAAGACAGACACTCTAACACAACCTCATCTGAATAGGAGTAAAGCATCATGTGCTGCTTCTCTCTGTCTGTCTCACTCACTTACACACACATGCACAAACACACATAACGAGTCGAACCATGGAGAAGTCACTTTCTGAACATTTCCCTGGGTAGACAGAGCCATTATAGAGACATTAGGCATTATATTGTCACTTCAACTGCAATTTTCTACTAAGTGTTTCCTATGACATTTAGCTGTAAAAATCTAAACAGCATGTCAGAACGCTAGTGAACTTTGTGGTGTGTTTTAAAAGTGAAGGCAATTTAACAACCTCTTAGACATTATTGCTGAAATTTTGAGACGGTTTGATTTTTTTCAGGGTATATGTTTATTTTCAGCATTGGGAAGTGATTATATGTAATCTGGATTACGTAATCAGATTAAAGTCATTAAAGTCATAACAATAATTATATATTATATGTTAATGTGAGTATGTCTGTCTAGCTGTCTAGGGATGGTTTCAGTTTCTCACCCAAATGTGCTCAGCACAGTATGTGTGAAGCAGAAGTACATCTAGTTAAGAGATAAAGAGATATTAATAATGGCCACTTTGAATCATTTATGATTGAGTTTCACTCTAAAATATGCTGAGGCTGTTTTTTAAGGGGACATAACCATAATAGCAAGCTTGTTAAAGATAAGAGCAAAATCATTTATCTAAAGCACCTTTAACCTTTACATTTACAATTTTCTTTGTACATTGTTTTTTAACAGTTTCTTTTGCAGCTGCATCAGCCAGTCGATTTCCTCTTACTTTGTCTGAATCTCCTGTTGCATGCCCCTTCACACTGACTATGGCCACTTCCGCAGGCAGCTGCACTGCCTCAACCAGGTCCCCATCAGATCAGAATGAGCTATTGATTTCACATTGATACTAATTTTCAAAGTGGCCGTTGTTAATATTTTTTCACTCTGTCTCTGTATTCCTTAATTAGATGTACTTCATGTACTTGCTCTTTTCTCACTCACACACACACATACACTGTGCTGAGCAAATTTAGGTGAGAAACTGACTGCTAGACAGACACATACTCACTTAGAACATTTTATGTGTATCTTATAAGTAGTAACTAGAACTTAGTAGCCTATATTTCCTTTTCATATAGGGTAATGTAACTTCTAGGCTAAATACTTTGATTGTATGTCCGGGACCTGGCTGGCATTGTTTTTATAAATATGAACCCTCTTCCTAAATAAAGCTGAGAATGCTTTGTGCAACAACTCTCTATGTCTGCTCATTCGTTCTCTCAGGCCTGCGCTGAATACCGCTGGGGTTGCTGACAGAATAAATGACTAATAAAAATAACAAAATAAACTTTCAAAGAATTCATCTAACAAGCAGCTAGGGCACATTTCACAATATCAACACTGTGGGGTAATGGGAACCTGCCACTGAATAACTAAATTTAGTTATAATAATTGTATTCATTATAAATTAAGATATCTAAATGATTTAGTATATGCTTTTCAGCAGAAATTTAAACTGTGAAACAATTGTGGAACATAAGACAATGATTTGACTCAATATTAGAAATGGAACAGAAATTGAAAATAGTCAAGTGTACAAAATTACAACATTTAAAATTCATGTAACAGCTTGCACCAATAAAAATGTGACAACATTTTTAAAAAATTATGTACATTTAAGATGGAAGGACAGAATTCACAAACCTTTAATCTACGATTTAAATTATTTAATCTATTTTGAACTAGATGGTCTCTGAATGTTGTTATAATTTTGTCTATTATTTGAAAGAGAATACTAAATATATTAGCATAACATAATATGAATTGCCCATATATGAATTATAATATCAAGACAAAACACGGCACAATGCATTCTAAGTGCGCTATCTAGTGGTTGTAGTGCAATGATGGGCCACATCTTTGATTCAGCACCATTGGACATGTAGGTCTTGTTTCTAAATTATTCGA